CTGTATTTGTGGGTGAGTCTCTCCTGTATTTGTGGGTGGGTCTCTCCTGCATTTGTGGGTGAGTCTCACCTGTATTTGTGGGTGAGTCTCTCCTGTATTTGTGGGTGAGTCTCTCCTGTATTTGTGGGTGAGTCTCTCCTGTATTTGTGGGTGAGTCTCTCCTGTATTTGTGGGTGAGTCTCTCCTGTATTTGTGGGTGAGTCTCCTGTATTTGTGGGTGGGTCTCTCCTGCATTTGTGGGTGAGTCTCACCTGTATTTGTGGGTGAGTCTCTCCTGTATTTATGGGTGAGTCTCTCCTGTATTTGTGGGTGAGTCTCTCCTGTATTTGTGGGTGAGTCTCTCCTGTATTTGTGGGTGAGTCTCTCCTGTATTTGTGGGTGAGTCTCCTGTATTTGTGGGTGGGTCTCTCTTGCATTTGTGGGTGAGTCTCACCTGTATTTGAGGGTGAGTCTCTCCTGTATTTATGGGTGAGTCTCTCCTGTATTTGTGGGTGAGTCTCTCCTGTATTTGTGGGTGAGTCTCTCCTGTATTTGTGGGTGAGTCTCTCCTGTATTTGTGGGTGAGTCTCTCCTGTATTTGTGGGTGAGTCTCCTGTATTTGTGGGTGGGTCTCTCCTGCATTTGTGGGTGAGTCTCACCTGTATTTGTGGGTGAGTCTCTCCTGTATTTATGGGTGAGTCTCTCCTGTATTTGTGGGTGAGTCTTTCCTGTATTTGTGGGTGAGTCTCTCCTGTATTTGTGGGTGAGTCTCTCCTGTATTTGTGGGTGAGTCTCCTGTATTTGTGGGTGGGTCTCTCCTGCATTTGTGGGTGAGTCTCACCTGTATTTGTGGGTGAGTCTCTCCTGTATTTATGGGTGAGTCTCTCCTGTATTTGTGGGTGAGTCTCTCCTGTATTTGTGGGTGAGTCTCTCCTGTATTTGTGGGTGAGTCTCTCCTGTATTTGTGGGTGAGTCTCTCCTGTATTTGTGGGTGAGTCTCACCTGTATTTGTGGGTGAGTCTTTCCTGTATTTGTGGGTGAGTCTCTCCTGTATTTGTGGGTGAGTCTCTCCTGTATTTGTGGGTGAGTCTCCTGTATTTGTGGGTGAGTCTCTCCTGTATTTGTGGGTGAGTCTCCTGTATTTGTGGGTGGGTCTCTCCTGCATTTGTGGGTGAGTCTCTCCTGTATTTGTGGGTGAGTCTCCTGTATTTGTGGGTGGGTCTCTCCTGCATTTGTGGGTGAGTCTCACCTGTATTTGTGGGTGAGTCTCTCCTGTATTTATGGGTGAGTCTCTCCTGTATTTGTGGGTGAGTCTCTCCTGTATTTGTGGGTGAGTCTCTCCTGTATTTGTGGGTGAGTCTCACCTGTATTTGTGGGTGAGTCTTTCCTGTATTTGTGGGTGAGTCTCTCCTGTATTTGTGGGTGAGTCTCACCTGTATTTGTGGGTGAGTCTCTCCTGTATTTAAGGGTGAGTCTCTCCTGTATTTGTGGTGAGTCTCTCCTGTATTTGTGGGTGAGTCTCTCCTGTATTTGTGGGTGAGTCTCTCCTGTATTTGTGGGTGGGTCTCACCTGTATTTGTGGGTGAGTCTTTCCTGTATTTGTGGGTGAGTCTCACCTGTATTTGTGGGTGAGTGTCTCTTGTATTTGTGGGTGAGTCTCTCCTGTATTTGTGGGTGAGTCTCTCCTGTATTTGTGGGTGAGTCTTTCCTGTATTTGTGGGTGAGTCTCTCCTGTATTTGTGGGTGAGTCTCCTGTATTTGTGGGTGAGTCTCTCCTGTATTTGTGGGTGAGTCTCTCCTGTATTTGGGGGTGAGTCTCTCCTGGATTTGTGGGTGAGTCACTCCTGTATTTGTGGGTGAGCCTCCAGACTGGTGAAACTGTCAGATCACGGGATGACCCTCGGGGAAGAAGCTTGCTACATCATGGTCATCTTCCCCGAGGGAAAAACGACGTTAACCCAACTCACTCACTCACTCACTAATAAGATCCATGGTGAGAAAGGGGCATGGGGGGCTAAAGTCACCATGCAGAGTTGCCTCCCTTCAGACCATGTGACTGAGTCAGTTGACTGAAATCATTGCTTATAGCGGCCCAGTCTTCTTAAACGACTCAATTCGCCATGCAGGTGTGTCAAAAACCTATGATTGTGGGTTTGAATCCTGGTGGGCGGTGGGGAGTCCTACTGGTGCAAGCTCACTCGTCACGCCAAATACCTGGTTTTGATTCCCCACATGGTAACTGACACTCAAATGTCAAAACAATAGCGAACAACTGACAAAAAACATGATTTAATTAACAAACAGGTGAAAAAAAGGGAACTTTCATTTAAACAGTATGACTGTAAAAAACAACAACAAACTGCACGACGCATGGTTGAGTGAGTTTGAATGGGTGGAGATGAACGTAGGTGGCCGGGACTCGGAATTAGTTTGTACTGTCTGCCGTAATCAATAACTGAAAACATAAAACTTTATGGAATTTAACAGGCAGGTGAAAGTATTGCAGGATGAGTATAAACTAGTATCTGTTTGCCCTGAAGGACAAGTTGGGTTTAAGACATTTTTCAAGCCCTGTGCTAAAAAGCATTGCCTCATTACATAGACCCATCTTCCCGAGACAAGCGAGTTAACTGACTATAAAAGTCCAGTTTCCACCCTTGCCGAACTGGGCTGGTATTATGGAGTTACATTTTAGCTGGACTAACGAGTCTATGCATATTCTAATCAAAGTCGTGCAATGAAATCGAAATCCAGTTCGTAAACTGTCATGCAGATTTCGGTCGATTGCAGAATTTGCAAAGCATGTGCATCGCCAACTCATTGTCAGCAGATATTTTCCAAATCTTTTCATGTTTTTAATCAAGGTTCCCACGTGATTTGATGCACTTCGCGATGTAAGACTCGTTTTATCACAATATATATCTTGATTATCAATCAGATCGTCTTGACTGGGTGCCACTGTTTTGTTTGAAGCAAATGCAAGTGATACGAGAGATGGAATCTGATTGGTCTAAAGGAGAGGCATAGAAGGGACATAACTCGTAATAGCCACTGGTGGCGTTACGATCGAGTCCAGGAATTCCAGCCTAGTTCGGCAAGGGTGGAAACTGGACTTTTAAAGTCTGTTAACTCTCTTGCCTCGGGAAGATGCATCATGGGTGGGACAATAGGATTCGTGTAGGAGACCCCCCCACCAGCAGCTTCAGTTTTCTTTATCTATGTCTCAAGTAGATAAATTAGGGCTGGGTGAGGTGAGGTGAAATGGGTGAGGTGAGGTGAGGTGAGGTGAGGTGGGGTGGGGTGAGGTGAGGTGAAATGGGGTTTAACGTCGCGTCCAAGGTTATTGCACTTATATAGCGACGTACGTGCATGTACGTGTGTGTGTTTGTGTACTAGTCTGGACTGATGCCGATTTATAGTGCTAGCTCACTGAGATACCATGCCGCAGTTTAACATGAATACCCCACTCAGACACAGTATACTGACTCCGAGCCGACCACTCCTTGTTTTAGCCCCTTAATGCCGAGCGCCAGACAGGGTAACAACAAGTACCATCTTTTAACGTCTTTTGGTATGATGCGGCCGGGGTTCAAACCCCAGACCTTCCGCTCTCTGGGCGGACGCTCTACCACTAGACCACGGAGGCGGTAATTAGGGCTGGGACGTGTCCAAATTTACTACCCGGGTACCCACACCCCTATTACCCGACCCTAACCAGGTACCCGCTGTTGGTGTCAAGAGATAGGTACTAAATGTCTGATTGGGAATAGTTTGACAGTTGCGCTGGCAGACTGTTTTAAGATACGCGTATAAAACGATGTGGTCATGTTTACACTGAAGTTGACTGAGAAATGCAAGTGATACGAGAGGTGGAATCTGATTGGTCCTTAGGAGAGGCATACAACTCGTAATAGCTTATGGTGGCGCTGCAATCGAGCCCAGGAATTCCAGCCAAGTTTGGCAAGGGTGGAAACTGGACTTTTAGAGTCAGTTAACTCTCTTGCCTCGCGAAGATGAATATTGCAAGCTAACCTCAGTTAAATCGAGCAGCTATTTTCTATCAATTTGGAATTTATTTGAACTATGTTACAATGTCATATTAAAACATGTCGGTAAGATAAATTTGTTGTTGCAGGATCATTTGGGGATCATGGGGTTTTATGCGTCCGATATGCATATAAAACCTAACGCCGAATGCATAAAACCCCATGTACCCCTCGTGATCCTGCTACAACTTATAGAGGGGCGGTCAGGTAGCCTAGTGGTAAAAACATTCGCTCGTCATGCCGAAGACCAGGGTTCCATTCCCGACATGGGTACAATGTGTGACGCCCATTTCTCGCGTTAACCGCTGTGATATTGCTGGAATATTGCTAAAAGAGGCGTAAAACCATACTCACTCACTTCCAACTTATAGAGTGAGAAGTATTATTGGGTATTTGAGAGAAAAGTGTTGAATTTGTACTCAAACAAACTCATTACGTCCCCCTTCCTTATAAATGGTACCGACACTGGTTGTGACTGGACTGATGGTGATGTTGGGAGTAACTGTTGAGGCAGCGGGTCCACTGCCGTCGTCTAAGGCGCCGCGATTCGCTATGCAGAGTTACGTCCCTTGGCCACGCCAGAAACCTATGATTGTGGGTTCAAATCCCGGTTTGCCCTGATTATGTTTCTAGGTTTGTCAGCACCATACCCGTGCTCGTGGGTTTCATCGAAGTGGTAAACATCTGAGACCTGCATCACTTCGGGCTCTCCTCCCACATTAAGCTGACACGCCGTGATATAACTGTAATACTGTTAAAAGCGGCGTTAAACCCAACTCACTCACTGTTGAGGTAGCATGTTACCATGGGTGGGATAGGATTGTAGGATTTGTTTTATACACAGACACCCTACCCATCCTCCTTTGTGAGTTCAGGGCCTGACAGATGGACATCGACTGTAATTGTTGAGAGATATTTGTGAGTTCACACCTGACAGATGGATGTCGTGTATATATTGTTGACTGTTTGTTTCAGGGATGATGGTTGGGGGTTATTTCTGGGGGTCCCTTGCCGACAAGGGTGGACGTCGGTCAATCCTGCTGTGGTCACTGATGGTCAACGGTATCGGCGGGCTGCTGTCCAGTGTGTCCCAGGTCTTCTGGCTCTTCCTTCTCATGCGCTTCATCAGCGGTATCGGGTGAGTTGATGTTGTCGTTGCACCCTCCTCATGCACTTCATCAGCGGTGTCGGGTGAGTCCATGTTGTCGTTGCACCCTCCTCATGCGCTTCATCAGCGGTGTCGGGTGAGTCGATGTTGTCGTTGCACCCTCCTCATGCGCTTCGCAGCGGTGTCGGGTGAGTCGATGTTGTCGTTGCACCCTCCTCATGCGCTTCATCAGCGGTGTCGGGTGAGTCGATGTTGTCGTTGCACCATCCTCATGCGCTTCATCAGCAGTGTCGGGTGAGTTGATGTTGTCGTTGCACCCTCATGTACCCTCATGTTGTCGTTGCACCCTCCTCATGCGCTTCATCAGCGGTGTCGGGTGAGTCGATGTTGTCGTTGCACCCTCCTCATGCGCTTCATCAGCGGTGTCGGGTGAGTCGATGTTGTCGTTGCACCCTCCTCATGCGCTTCATCAGCGGTGTTGGGTGAGTTGATGTTGTCGTTGCACCCTCCTCATGCGCTTCATCAGCGGTGTCGGGTGAGTCCATGTTGTCATTGCACCCTCATCATGTGCTTCATCAGCGGTGTGGGGTGAGTCGATGTTGTCGTTGCATCCTATTTTGGTTTGATGCCACTCATCTTCCCGAGGCAAGAGAGTTAACTGACTTTAAAAGTCCAGTTTCCACCCTTGCCGAACTAGGCTGGAATTCCTGGGCTCAATCGTAGCGCCACCAGATTATTTGATGCACTTCGCGATGTAAGACTCGTTTTATCACAATATAGATCTTGATTATCGATCAGATCGTCTTGATGGGGCGCCACCGTTTTGTTTGAAACAAATGCAAGTGATGCAAGAGGAGGAATCTGAATGGTCCATAGGAGAGGCATAGAAGGGACATAACTCATAATAGACACTGGTGGCGCTACGATTGAGCCCAGGAATTTGAGCCTAGTTCGGCAAGGGTGGAAACTGGACTTTTAAAGTCAGTTAACTCCCCTGACTCAGGAAGATGGATGCCACTATGCATAAACTTCTACTGAAAAACAATGTTAAATCCACAAAATATTACAGGAATGTCATGACTAGGGACATGAGGAATAGATTTCCTTTGTTGGAATAAAGCTCAGGTACAACAAGGCTGTAATCACTCACTCACCCAACTGCCCCACACCAGAGAGCAAGTGTTACAGTGTGGGTGTACAACAAGGCTGTAATCACTCACCCAACTGCCCCACACCAGAGAGTAGATCATACAGTGTTGGTGTGTGTGTTACAGTGTGGGTGTACAACAAGGCTGTAATCACTCACCCAACTGCCCCACATCAGAGAATAGATCATACAGTGTTGGTGTGTGTGTTACAGTGTAGGTGTGTGTGTTACAGTGTGGGTGTACAACAAGGCTGTAATCACTCACCCAACTGCCCCACACCAGAGAGTAGATCATACAGTGTTGGTGTGTGTGTTACAGTGTGGGTGTACAACAAGGCTGTAATCACTCACCCAACTGCCCCACACCAGAGAGGAAGTGTTACAGTGTGGGTGTACAACAAGGCTGTAATCACTCACCCAACTGCCCCACACCAGAGAGTAGATCATACAGTGTTGGTGTACAACAAGGCTGTAATCACTCACCCAACTGCCCCACACCAGAGAGGAAGTGTTACAGTGTGGGTGTACAACAAGGCTGTAATCACTCACCCAACTGCCCCACACCAGAGAGGAAGTGTTACAGTGTGGGTGTACAACAAGGCTGTAATCACTCACCCAACTGCCCCACACCAGAGAATAGATCATACAGTGTGGGTGTACAACAAGGCTGTAATCACTCACCCAACTGCCCCACACCAGAGAGTAGATCATACAGTGTGGGTGTACAACAAGGCTGTAATCACTCACCCAACTGCCCCACACCAGAGAGGAAGTGTAACAGTGTGGGTGTACAACAAGGCTGTAATCACTCACCCAACTGCCCCACACCAGAGAGTAGATCATACAGTGTGGGTGTACAACAAGGCTGTAATCACTCACCCAACTGCCCCACACCAGAGAGGAAGTGTAACAGTGTGGGTGTACAACAAGGCTGTAATCACTCACCCAACTGCCCCACACCAGAGAGTAGATCATACAGTGTGGGTGTACAACAAGGCTGTAATCACTCACCCAACTGCCCCACACCAGAGAGGAAGTGTAACAGTGTGGGTGTACAACAAGGCTGTAATCACTCACCCAACTGCCCCACACCAGAGAGTAGATCATACAGTGTGGGTGTACAACAAGGCTGTAATCACTCACCCAACTGCCCCACACCAGAGAGTAGATCATACAGTGTGGGTGTACAACAAGGCTGTAATCACTCACCCAACTGCCCCACACCAGAGAGTAGATCATACAGTGTTGGTGTGTGTGTTACAGTGTTGGTGTGTGTGTTACAGTGTGGGTGTACAACAAGGCTGTAATCACTCACCCAACTGCCCCACACCAGAGAGTAGATCATACAGTGTTGGTGTGTGTGTTACAGTGTGGGTGTACAACAAGGCTGTAATCACTCACCCAACTGCCCCACACCAGAGAATAGATCATACAGTGTGGGTGTACAACAAGGCTGTAATCACTCACCCAACTGCCCCACACCAGAGAGTAGATCATACAGTGTTGGTGTACAACAAGGCTGTAATCACTCACCCAACTGCCCCACACCAGAGAGGAAGTGTTGATGTGTGTGTTACAGTGTGGGTGTACAACAAGGCTGTAATCACTCACCCAACTGCCCCACACCAGAGAGTAGATCATACAGTGTTGGTGTGTGTGTTACAGTGTTGGTGTGTGTGTTACAGTGTGGGTGTACAACAAGGCTGTAATCACTCACCCAACTGCCCCACACCAGAGAGTAGATCATACAGTGTTGGTGTGTGTGTTACAGTGTGGGTGTACAACAAGGCTGTAATCACTCACCCAACTGCCCCACACCAGAGAGTAGATCATACAGTGTTGGTGTGTGTGTTACAGTGTGGGTGTACAACAAGGCTGTAATCACTCACCCAACTGCCCCACACCAGAGAGTAGATCATACAGTGTTGGTGTGTGTGTTACAGTGTGGGTGTACAACAAGGCTGTAATCACTCACCCAACTGCCCCACACCAGAGAATAGATCATACAGTGTTGGTGTGTGTGTTACAGTGTGGGTGTACAACAAGGCTGTAATCACTCACCCAACTGCCCCACACCAGAGAATAGATCATACAGTGTTGGTGTGTGTGTTACAGTGTGGGTGTACAACAAGGCTGTAATCACTCACCCAACTGCCCCACATCAGAGAGTAGATCATACAGTGTTGGTGTGTGTGTTACAGTGTGGGTGTACAACAAGGCTGTAATCACTCACCCAACTGCCCCACATCAGAGAGTAGATCATACAGTGTTGGTGTGTGTGTTACAGTGTGGGTGTACAACAAGGCTGTAATCACTCACCCAACTGCCCCACATCAGAGAATAGATCATACAGTGTTGGTGTGTGTGTTACAGTGTGGGTGTACAACAAGGCTGTAATCACTCACCCAACTGCCCCACACCAGAGAGGAAGTGTTGATGTGTGTGTTACAGTGTGGGTGTACAACAAGGCTGTAATCACTCACCCAACTGCCCCACACCAGAGAGGAAGTGTTGGTGTGTGTGTTACAGTGTGGGTGTGTGTGTTACAGTGTGGGTGTACAACAAGGCTGTAATCACTCACCCAACTGCCCCACACCAGAGAATAGATCATACAGTGTTGGTGTGTGTGTTACAGTGTGGGTGTACAACAAGGCTGTAATCACTCACCCAACTGCCCCACACCAGAGAATAGATCATACAGTGTTGGTGTGTGTGTTACAGTGTAGGTGTGTGTGTTACAGTGTGGGTGTACAACAAGGCTGTAATCGCTCACCCAACTGCCCCACACCAGAGAGGAAGCGTTGGTGTGTGTGTTACAATGTTGGAGTGTGTGTGTTACAGTGTGGGTGTACAACAAGGCTGTAATCACTCACCCAACTGCCCCACACCAGAGAATAGATCATACAGTGTTGGTGTGTGTGTTACAGTGTGGGTGTACAACAAGGCTGTAATCACTCACCCAACTGCCCCACATCAGAGAATAGATCATACAGTGTTGGTGTGTGTGTTACAGTGTGGGTGTACAACAAGGCTGTAATCACTCACCCAACTGCCCCACATCAGAGAGTAGATCATACAGTGTTGGTGTGTGTGTTACAGTGTAGGTGTGTGTGTTACAGTGTAGGTGTGTGTGTTACAGTGTTGGTGTGTGTGTTACAGTGTTGGTGTGTGTTACAATGTTAGTGTGTGTGTTACAGTGTGGGTGTGTGTTACAGTGTGGGTGTACAACAAGGCTGTAATCACTCACCCAACTGCCCCACACCAGAGAATAGATCATACAGTGTTGGTGTGTGTGTTACAGTGTAGGTGTGTGTGTTACAGTGTAGGTGTGTGTGTTACAGTGTTGGTGTGTGTGTTACAGTGTTGGTGTGTGTGTTACAGTGTTGGTGTGTGTGTTACAGTGTGGGTGTACAACAAGGCTGTAATCACTCACCCAACTGCCCCACACCAGAGAATAGATCATACAGTGTTGGTGTGTGTGTTACAGTGTGGGTGTACAACAAGGCTGTAATCACTCACCCAACTGCCCCACATCAGAGAGTAGATCATACAGTGTTGGTGTGTGTGTTACAGTGTGGGTGTACAACAAGGCTGTAATCACTCACCCAACTGCCCCACACCAGAGAATAGATCATACAGTGTTGGTGTGTGTGTTACAGTGTGGGTGTACAACAAGGCTGTAATCACTCACCCAACTGCCCCACATCAGAGAATAGATCATACAGTGTTGGTGTGTGTGTTACAGTGTGGGTGTACAACAAGGCTGTAATCACTCACCCAACTGCCCCACATCAGAGAATAGATCATACAGTGTTGGTGTGTGTGTTACAGTGTGGGTGTACAACAAGGCTGTAATCACTCACCCAACTGCCCCACATCAGAGAATAGATCATACAGTGTTGGTGTGTGTGTTACAGTGTGGGTGTACAACAAGGCTGTAATCACTCACCCAACTGCCCCACACCAGAGAATAGATCATACAGTGTTGGTGTGTGTGTTACAGTGTGGGTGTACAACAAGGCTGTAATCACTCACCCAACTGCCCCACACCAGAGAATAGATCATACAGTGTTGGTGTGTGTGTTACAGTGTGGGTGTACAACAAGGCTGTAATCACTCACCCAACTGCCCCACATCAGAGAATAGATCATACAGTGTTGGTGTGTGTGTTACAGTGTGGGTGTACAACAAGGCTGTAATCACTCACCCAACTGCCCCACACCAGAGAATAGATCATACAGTGTTGGTGTGTGTGTTACAGTGTAGGTGTGTGTGTTACAGTGTGGGTGTCCAACAAGGCTGTAATCACTCACCCAACTGCCCCACACCAGAGAATAGATCATACAGTGTTGGTGTGTGTGTTACAGTGTGGGTGTACAACAAGGCTGTAATCACTCACCCAACTGCCCCACACCAGAGAATAGATCATACAGTGTTGGTGTGTGTGTTACAGTGTGGGTGTACAACAAGGCTGTAATCACTCACCCAACTGCCCCACATCAGAGAATAGATCATACAGTGTTGGTGTGTGTGTTACAGTGTGGGTGTACAACAAGGCTGTAATCACTCACCCAACTGCCCCACATCAGAGAATAGATCATACAGTGTTGGTGTGTGTGTTACAGTGTGGGTGTACAACAAGGCTGTAATCACTCACCCAACTGCCCCACACCAGAGAGGAAGTGTTACAGTGCTGGTGTGTGTTAAAATGTTAGTGTGTGTGTTACAGTGTGGGTGTGTGTTACAGTGTTGGTATGTGTGTTACAGTGTTGTTGTGTGTGTCACAGTGTGGGTGTGTGTTACAGTGTTGTGTGTGTTACAGTGTGGGTGTGTGTTACAGTGTTGGTGTGTGTTACAGTGTTGATGTGTGTGTTACAATGTTAGTGTGTGTGTTACAGTGTGGGTGTGTGTTACAGTGTTGGTGTGTGTGTTACAGTGTGGGTGTGGGTGTTACAGTGTTGGGGTGTGTGTTACAGTGTTGGTGTGGGTGCTACAGTGTTGGTGTGTGTTACAGTGTGGGTGTGGGTGTTACAGTGTTGGGGTGTGTGTTACAGTGTTGGTGTGTGTGTTACAGTGTTGGTGTGTGTGACAGTGTTGGTGTGTGTGTTACAGTGTTGGTGTGTGTGTTACAGTGTTAGTGTGTGTTACAGTGTTGGTATGTGTTACAGTGTTGGAGTGTGTTACAGTGTTGATGTGTGTGTTACAGTGTTGATGTGTGTGTTACAATGTTGATGTTTGTTACAGTGTTGGTGTGTGTTACAGTGTTGGTGTGTGTTACAGTGTTGGTGTGTGTGTTACAGTGTTGGTGTGTGTGTTACAGTGTTGATGTGTGTTACAGTGTTGGTGTGTGTTACAGTGTTGGTGTGTTTGTTACAGTGTTGGGGGCAGTATGCCGGTCATCTTCTCTTACTTCTGTGAGTTCCAACCCAAGGACAGACGAGGCTCAATGATATCCGTCCTGGCAACATTCTGGATGGGAGGCAACATACTGGCCGCAGGTAGGCACGATATACAGGTACACACTGACATACAGGTACACACTGACATTCAGGTACACACTGACACACAGGTACACTCTGATACTCTGGCTGCAGGTACACACTGACATACAGGTACACACTGACATACAGGTACACACTGACACACAGGTACACACACTGACATACAGGTAAACACTGATACTCTAGCTGCAGGTACACACTGACATACAGGTACACACTGACATACAGGTACACACTGACATACAGGTACACACTGACACACAGGTACACACTGATATACAGGTACACACTGACACACAGGTACACACTGACATACAGGTACACACTGACACACAGGTACACACTGACATACAGGTACACACTGACACACAGGTACACACACTGACATACAGGTAAACACTGATACTCTAGCTGCAGGTACACACTGACACACAGGTACACACTGATATACAGGTACACACTGACACACAGGTACACACTGACATACAGGTACACACTGACACACAGGTACACACTGACATACAGGTACACACTGACACACAGGTACACACTGACATACAGGTACACAATGACACACAGGTACCCCTGTTATTGCATCTGATGCTGATGCTGCTGCTTTGGTTCCAGGGCTGGCCTGGATCATCATCCCCCAGGAAACATGGGGCTACTTCTCCCCCGAGTTCACCTTCTCCAGCTGGCGCATCTTCATCGCTGTCTGCACCATCCCCGCGCTGTCGTCCGCCGTCCTCTTCTTTCTCATGCCAGAGAGCCCCAAGTACCTGCTCACGGTAACGTCCTCTCTGCAGTTCTGTAATCCTGTTAAAGATTAAGGTGTGGCATTGCGCATCTTCATCGCTGTCTGCATCGTCCCCGCGCTGTCGTCCGCCGTCCTCTTCTTTCTCATGCCAGAGAGCCCCAAGTACCTGCTCACGGTAACGTCCTCTCTGCAGTTCTGTAATCCTGTTAAAGATTAAGGTGTGGCATTGCGCATCTTCATCGCTGTCTGCACCATCCCCGCGCTGTCGTCCGCCGTCCTCTTCTTTCTCATGCCAGAGAGCCCCAAGTACCTGCTCACGGTAACATCCTCTCTGCAGTTCTGTAATCCTGTTAAAGATTAAGGTCTGGCATTGCGCATCTTCATCACTGTCTGCACCATCCCCGCGCTGTCGTCCGCCGTCCTCTTCTTTCTCATGCCAGAGAGCCCCAAGTACCTGCTCACGGTAACGTCCTGTCTGTAGTTCTGTAATCCTGTAAAAGATTAAGGTGTGGCATTGCGCATCTTCATCGCTGTCTGCACCATCCCCGCGCTGTCGTCCGCCGTCCTCTTCTTTCTCATGCCAGAGAGCCCCAAGTACCTGCTCACGGTAACGTCCTGTCTGTAGTTCTGTAATCCTGTAAAAGATTAAGGTGTGGCATTGCGCATCTTCATCACTGTCTGCACCATCCCCATGCTTTCGTCCGCCGTCCTCTCTGAAGATTGATCACGATGAGGTGTAGAACCCTCAGAATTACTGGGCAGAATAGGTCTCTCATTCTGTAATCCTGTAATAGATTAAGGTGTGGTTATCAGTGCTAATTACTGTAAAGTGTTGGCTTCTATTGTCTTTTGCTAATCACCCATCAGCGGCAATCATCTGTTGGCCTACCTTGTTAGTTGCCACCTTCTGTTGTCTTCTTAATTTTGCTGTCTTTACATGTACATATATATATATATGCTCTCTGCCTCCTAGCATTCAGCATCTTCCCAAGGCAAGAGAGTTAACTGACTTTAAAAGTCCAGGTTCCACCCTTGCCGAACTAGGCTGGAATTCCTGGGCTCGATCGTAGCGTCACTAGTGACTATTACGAGTTATGTCCCTTCTAAGCCTCCCCCATGGACCAATCAGATTCCACCTCTCGTATCACTTGCATTTGCTTCAAACAAAACGGCGATGCCCAGTCAAGGCAATCTGATCGATAATCAAGATCTATATTGTGATAAAATGGGTCTTACATCGCGAAATGCATCAAATAATGTGAGCACCCTGATTAAAAATATAAAAAAGTTGGCGGTGCTTACCATAGAGAATGATTGGCCTTTGGGACAGATTGGCCAAGGCAGTTGAATTTGGTAAATTATTTTAACCATTTTGTTTGGTTTTGGATGTTTGACTCCTGGCTGGGAGAGAGACGGACGCCATCTATGTAACATTTGACTATTGTTTGTTTACAGGCTGGGAGAGAGACGGATGCTATCTATGTGATGTTTGACTACTGTTTGACTTCAGGCTGAGAGAGAGATGGTTGCTATCTATGTAACGTTTGACTATTGTTTGTTTACAGGCTGGGAGAGAGACGGATGCTATCTATGTGATGTTTGACTATTGTTTGACCTCAAGCTGGGAGAGAGACAGATGCTATCTCTGTAATGTTTGACTATTGTTTGACTTCAGGTTGGGAGAGAGACAGATGCTATCTATGTAATGTTTGACTATTGTTTGACATCAAGCTGGGAGAGAGACGGATGCTATCTATGTGATGTTTGACTATTGTTTGACTCCTGGCTGGGAGAGAGACGGACGCCATCTATGTAACATTTGACTATTGTTTGACTTCAGGTTGGGAGAGAGACAGATCCTATCTATGTGATGTTTGACTACTGTTTGACTTCAGGCTGAGAGAGAGATGGTTGCTATCTATGTAACGTTTGACTATTGTTTGTTTACAGGCTGGGAGAGAGACGGATGCTATCTATGTGATGTTTGACTATTGTTTGACATCAAGCTGGGAGAGAGACAGATGCTATCTATGTAATGTTTGACTATTGTTTGACTTCAGGTTGGGAGAGAGACGGATGCTATTTATGTAACATTTGACTATTGTTTGACATCAAGCTGGGAGAGAGACGGATGCTATCTATGTGATGTTTGACTATTGTTTGACTTCAGGTTGGGAGAGAGACAGATGCTATCTATGTAATGTTTGACTATTGTTTGACTTCAGGTTGGGAGAGAGACAGATCCTATCTATGTAATGTTTGACTATTGTTCGACATCAAGCTGGGAGAGAGACGGATGCTATCTATGTGATGTTTGACTATTGTTTGACTTCAGGCTGAGAGAGAGACAGATGCTATCTATGTGATGTTTGACTATTGTTTGACATCAAGCTGGGAGAGAGACGGATGCTATCTATGTGATGTTTGACTATTGTTTGACATCAAGCTGGGAGAGAGACGGATGCTATCTATGTAATGTTTGACTATTGTTTGACTTCAGGTTGGGAGAGAGACAGATCCTATCTATGTAATGTTTGACTATTGTTCGACATCAAGCTGGGAGAGAGACGGATGCTATCTATGTGATGTTTGACTATTGTTTGACTTCAGGCTGAGAGAGAGACGGATGCTATCTATGTGATGTTTGACTATTGTTTGACATCAAGCTGGGAGAGAGACGGATGCTATCTATGTGATGTTTGACTATTGTTTGACTTCAGGTTGGGAGAGAGACGGATGCTATTTATGTAACGTTTGACTATTGTTTGACTTCAGGCTGAGAGAGACGGATGCTATCTATGTGATGTTTGACTATTGTTTGACATCAAGCTGGGAGAGAGACGGATGCTATCTATGTGATTTTTGACTATTGTTTGACTTCAGGTTGGGAGAGAGACGGATGCTATTTATGTAACATTTGACTATTGTTTGACTTCAGGCTGAGAGAGACGGATGCTATCTGTGTGATGTTTGACTATTGTTTGACATCAAGCTGGGAGAGAGACGGATGCTATCTATGTGATGTTTGATTATTGTTTGACTTCAGGTTGGGAGAGCGACGGATGCTATCTATGTGATGTTTGACTATTGTTTGACATTAAGCTGGGAGAGAGACGGATGCTATCTATGTGATGTTTGACTATTGTTTGACATCAAGCTGGGAGAGAGACGGATGCTATCTATGTGATGTTTGATTATTGTTTGACATCAAGCTGGGAGAGAGACGGATGCTATCTATGTGATGTTTGACTATTGTTTGACATCAAGCTGGTAGAGAGACGGATGCTATCTATGTGATGTTTGACTATTGTTTGACATCAAGCTGGGAGAGAGACGGATGCTATCTATGTAATGTTTGATTATTGTTTGACTTCAGTTTGGGAGAGCGACGGATGCTATCTATGTAATGTTTGACTATTGTTTGACATCAAGCTGGGAGAGAGACGGATGCTATCTATGTAATGTTTGATTATTGTTTGACTTCAGTTTGGGAGAGCGACGGATGCTATCTATGTAACGTTTGACTATTGTTTGACTTCAGGTTGGGAGAGCGACGGATGCCATCTATGTAATGTTTGACTATTGTTTGACATCAAGCTGGGAGAGAGACGGATGCTATCTATGTGATGTTTGACTATTGTTTGACTTCAGGTTGGGAGAGAGACGGATGCTATTTATGTAACATTTGACTATTGTTTGACTTCAGGCTGAGAGAGACGGATGCTATCTGTGTGATGTTTGACTATTGTTTGACATCAAGCTGGGAGAGAGACGGATGCTATCTATGTGATTTTTTGATTATTGTTTGACTTCAGGTTGGGAGAGAGACGGATGCTATCTATGTGATGTTTGACTATTGTTTGACATCAAGCTGGGAGAGAGACGGATGCTATCTATGTAATGTTTGACTATTGTTTGACATCAAGCTGGGAGAGAGACGGATGCTATCTATGTGATGTTTGATTATTGTTTGACATCAAGCTGGGAGAGAGACGGATGCTATCTATGTAATGTTTGATTATTGTTTGACTTCAGTTTGGGAGAGCGACGGATGCTATCTATGTAATGTTTGACTATTGTTTGACATCAAGCTGGGAGAGAGACGGATGCTATCTATGTAATGTTTGATTATTGTTTGACTTCAGTTTGGGAGAGCGATGGATGCTATCTATGTGATGTTTGACTATTGTTTGACTTCAGTTTGGGAGAGCGACGGATGCTATCTATGTAATGTTTGACTATTGTTTGACATCAAGCTGGGAGAGAGACGGATGCTATCTATGTGATGTTTGACTATTGTTTGACATCAAGCTGGGAGAGAGACGGATGCTATCTATGTGATGTTTGACTATTGTTTGACATCAAGCTGGGAGAGAGACGGATGCTATCTATGTAATGTTTGATTATTGTTTGACTTCAGTTTGGGAGAGCGACGGATGCTATCTATGTAACATTTGACTATTGTTTGACTTCAGGTTGGGAGAGAGACGGATGCTATCTATGTAATGTTTGACTATTGTTTGACATCAAGCTGGGAGAGAGACGGATGCAATCTATGTAATGTTTGATTATTGTTTGACTTCAGTTTGGGAGAGTGACGGATGCTATCTATGTAATGTTTAACTATTGTTTGACTTCAGTTTGGGAGAGCGACGGATGCTATCTATGTAACGTTTGACTATTGTTTGACTTCAGGTTGGGAGAGAAATGGATGCCATATATGTCCTAAAGCAAGTCCATGAGAGAAACAGAGAGAGACAACCCTTCAAGGTAGCTAGCATTTTAATAAAACGTTGCTGCAACAAGGGCTCTTCATAATATAAATATATATAATGTATTTAACTTAATTTATAAATTTCTGTTTGTCACAGCCTTTTTTCAAAATTGTTTAATGTATTCGGACAAGCCTAAAAACAGGGTGGAAAAATAAATAGAAAATCAGTTTTCTATATTCCATCAAATGCAAACTTATTCTTTATCCGTAACTACCCGTGAGGATCGAGGATAGAATAGGTCTTCAGCAACCCATACTCGCTGTAAAAGGCAACTATTCTTGTCGTAAGAGACGACTAACAGGATCATTTTTTCTGGCGCGCTGACTTGGTTGATGCATGTCATCGTATCCCAATTGTATAGATCGATGCTTATGATGTCATTCACTGGATTGTCTGGTCTAGACTTGATTATTAACAGACCGCCGTCATATAGCTGGATTATTGCTGAGTGCCGCGTTAACAGACCTGTCAACCCCTCATCATGACAATGTGGGAGATTTGACTTCAAAATGGGGGAGATTTGACTCCAAAGGGGGAGATTTTTAAGATAGTGAAGATAAGATAATTTCCAACTTTTATTTTTAATAATGTTACAAAGAAAACCAAATATTTTGAAACAATAAATAATCAATAAGTTTCTTATACGTACAGCTTGCTTAATTTCCGTTTGCATTTTCCTCCTCCAAAAATAAACCCAGCACAATCTACCCATATAACTTTCGTTCAAAGATCATCTCAGATAAACGCTAACAGATATTGAAATTTCACAATCGGTAGCTTGACCAGTTGACGACGTGTTCAATCCGACCAGTTGTCAGGCTTCGTTACGATGCAGGTTTTCTGAGTATTTGGCGCGATATTGGTTACAAAATTTGCCAAAGAAATATCAAATGCATTTATCCTGACGCAACATCATCGCCCTTAATTTCAATAAGATATACTGGTTTTTTTTCTGTCTGCGGCAGTCTGTTGACAGTCCCATTACTTAGCTCCTTAAATTTCCTAGAAATGTTCATGTTATTCCATTCCAAGAAAAGTATGCCATATTTGGAAGTACTATTACGTTTTACTACAATTTATGAATGAAATGAGTCTCGTTGTCGTTGTTGACCTTTCTGACCTTGATGTGTATTAATCTCATTGGTTGACTAGTACTGTTGTATGCAAATTAGATTGCAGATCTGGGACGCAAGCAAACTATTAGCCAATCAAATCGTGTAAAATAATCACGACACATTCTCGCGAAATTTGATAAAGTTCTGTTTTGATATTTTCTGTGCACACAAGTCACGATGTCAGTCAAAAGGAAATTTATAAGTTTCACTTTAAACTTTGACTTTGAAATCCTATCTGTGCGGAAGCCTGATCGTGTAACTCATTGTTATTTCGACTACCGAATCAACCAATCACGCATAGTGTTGTTTCTGAAGACGGCGCTTGCAGGACATATTTTGTTTTCATTTCCAAGAGTTCAATGACGTAACTTTGAGGTATGTTGATGTTTTAACAAAGTTTCTGACAAATCTGATAACCAATAAAGTTATGTATAACTGGACTGGCCATATGTATCTACGTTCTTAAATTATGGAAGAATAAACACGCTAAGAACACGAAGACAACAGTTCATTTCATGAAGTGATGAATACTTGGCTGATTTTTCATTACAAGTTCAACCCTTTAGGCACCTGTTAGGACTATCCGAGTTTTCTTAACAGTTTACATTGTTCAATCGTTCACCATATGAATTTAATTACCAGTTGATTACTGGACAAAGGCCCATCTGGGTCCCCCTGCGGGTGGCTGTGATAAGGGTCGCTAATCCGGGAGCCTACCGGACAGATCGGGACGCAAACTTCCCGTTCATTGTTTTTACTCACGGGACAATGGAGGCGATTTTTTTAAATAATGAAAAAATTCTGTTTTGCGGGAGAAATTGTCCATCTTGCGGGAGACTGGGAGATTTCATCAAATTGCGGGAGTCTCCCGCAAAATGCGGGAGGGTTGACAGGTCTGCGTTAAACGAAAAATTAACAAAGAAACAAAAAAAACTATTTTTACAATAACAAGTTGTGCATATGATATGTTTTGTTGAAATAGTCCTTCTACTGATAACAAAACTAAAATGTATGTAACGTCTTTTTTATTTCAGTATTTTCTTAAAAAACCTCTATAAGCTGCAAAATAATAGTTGGCCATTGATGTGTATGTACCTGTTCCAAACTCTGACTTGATCTGCATTGGTTAACTCCCCTGTTTTGCACTGGTTATGTCCCCTGTTCAAGGTGGAAGCACTGGTGTTATCTGAGGAAGACAGACACAGCCACAAGTCAAGCCCTGATGACCACAAGAAGTTGCAGTCTATGAAGGCCAAGTGTGTCCATGTACGTATACTTGGTGATGTGGAAACATGTTTCTCTGTACCATCTAGATGACAGTATTGAAGGCCAAGTGTGCCCATGTACGTATTCTTGTTGATGTGGAAACATGTTTCTCTGTACCATCTAGATGAAAGTATTGAAGGCCAAGTGTGTCCATGTACGTATACTTGTTGATGTGGAAACATGTTTCTCTGTACCATCTAGATGAAAGTATTGAAGGCCATGTGTGCTCATGTACGTATACTTGGTGATGTGGAAACATGTTTCTCTGTACCATCTAGATGAAAGTATTGAAGGCCATGTGTGCCCATGTACGTATACTTGGTGATGTGGAAACATGTTTCTCTGTACCATCTAGATGAAAGTATTGAAGGCCATGTGTGCCCATGTACGTATACTTGTTGATGTGGAAACATGTTTCTCTGTACCATCTAGATGAAAGTATTGAAGGCCAAGTGTGCCCATGTAGGTATTCTTGTTGATGTGGAAACATGTTTCTCTGTACCATCTAGATGAAAGTATTGAAGGCCAAGTGTGCCCATGTACGTATACTTGGTGATGTGGAAACATGTTTCTCTGTACCATCTAGATGAAAGTATTGAAGGCCAAGTGTGCCCATGTACGTATACTTGGTGATGTGGAAACATGTTTCTCTGTACCATCTAGATGAAAGTATTGAAGGCCATGTGTGCTCATGTACGTATACTTGGTGATGTGGAAACATGTTTCTCTGTACCATCTAGATGAAAGTATTGAAGGCCATGTGTGCCCATGTACGTATACTTGTTGATGTGGAAACATGTTTCTCTGTACCATCTAGATGAAAGTATTGAAGGCCAAGTGTGCCCATGTAGGTATTCTTGTTGATGTGGAAACATGTTTCTCTGTACCATCTAGATGAAAGTATTGAAAGCCAAGTGTGCCCATGTACGTATACTTGGTGATGTGGAAACATGTTTCTCTGTACCATCTAGATGAAAGTATTGAAGGCCAAGTGTGCCCATGTACGTATACTTGGTGATGTGGAAACATGTTTCTCTGTACCATCTAGATGAAAGTATTGAAGGCCATGTGTGCTCATGTACGTATTCTTGGTGATGTGGAAACATGTTTCTCTGTACCATCTAGATGAGAGTATTGAAGGCCAAGTGTGTCCATGTACGTATTCTTGGTGATGTGGAAACATGTTTCTCTGTACCATCTAGATGAAAGTATTGAAGGCCAAGTGTGCCCATGTAGGTATTCTTGTTGATGTGGAAACATGTTTCTCTGTACCATCTAGATGAAAGTATTGAAGGCCAAGTGTGTCCATGTACGTATACTTGTTGATGTGGAAACATGTTTCTCTGTACCATCTAGATGAAAGTATTGAAGGCCAAGAGTGCCCATGTACGTATACTTGGTGATGTGGAAACATGTTTCTCTGTACCATCTAGATGAAAGTATTGAAGGCAAGTTCAAGGCAGCATGGGCGATCAGTAAAAGTGGCCCCGTTCCACAAAGCTATCTTAAGGCTAAGACAATTGTAACAAGACAAGTGTTCTTTAACACTGACTTATGATGATCATAGCATTAAGATCATATATGAAACAAGTCACAGATAGTTATTTAGCCTGGGGACCATCAATGTTTTAGAGGTCTTTAACTGACTGACTCCTTGACTAACTCCTTGACTGACTCCCTGACTGACTAACTCCTTGACTGACTCCCTGACTGACTAACTCCTTGACTGACTCCCTGGCTGACTAACTCCTTGACTGACTCCTTGACTGAGTGACTCCTTGACTGAGTGACTCCTTGACTGACTAACTCCTTGACTGACTCCTTGACTGAGTGACTCCTTGACTGAGTGACTCCCTGACTGACTAACTCCTTGACTGAGTGACTCCTTGACTGAGTGACTCCTTGACTGAGTGACTCCTTGACTGACTAACTCCTTGACTGACTCCTTGACTGAGTGACTCCTTGACTGAGTGACTCCCTGACTGAGTGACTCCTTGACTGACTCCTTGACTGAGTGACTCCTTGACTGAGTGACTCCTTGACTGACTAACTCCTTGACTGATTCCCCGACTGAGTGACTCCTTGACTGAGTGACTCCTTGACTGACTAACTCCTTGACTGACTCCTTGACTGACTCCTTGACTGATTCCCTCACTGACTGACTCCTTGACTGATTCCCTCACTGACTGATTCCTTGACTGACTCCTTGACTGATTCCCTCACTGACTGACTCCTTGACTGAGTGACTCCTTGACTGACTAACTCCTTGACTGACTCCTTGACTGACTCCTTGACTGATTCCCTCACTGACTGACTCCTTGACTGACTCCTTGACTGATTCCCTCACTGACTGACTCCTTGACTGATTCCCTCACTGACTGATTCCTTGACTGACTCCTTGACTGATTCCCTCACTGACTGACTCCTTGACTGAGTGACTCCTTGACTGACTAACTCCTTGACTGACTCCTTGACTGACTCCTTGACTGATTCCCTCACTGACTGACTCCTTGACTGACTCCTTGACTGATTCCCTCACTGACTGACTCCTTGACTGAGTGACTCCTTGACTGTCTAGGTGATGGTGAAATTGGGTTTAACGTCGCGTCCAAGATTATTGCACTTATATAGCGACGTCCTTGACTGTCTAACTCCTTGACTGATTCCCTCGCTGACTGACTCCTTGACTGTATAACTCCTTGACTGACTCCTTGACTGATTCCCTCACTGACTAACTCCTTGACTGATTCCCTCACTGACTGACTCCTTGACCGAGTGACTCCTTGACTGACTCCTTGACTGATTCCCTCACTGACTGACTCCTTGACTGATTCCCTCACTGGCTGACTCCTTGACCTACAAAATCCTTGACTAACTCCTTGACTGACTGATTCCCTCACTGACTGACTCTTTGACTTACTAAATCCTTGACTAACTCCTTGACTGACTGATTCCCCCACTGACTGACTCGTTGACTGACTGACTCCTTGACTGATTCCCTCACTGACTAACTCCTTGTCTGACTGATTCCCTCACTGACTGACTCTTTGACTGACTCCTTGACTGATTCCCTCACTGACTGACTCCTTGACTGACTAACTCCTTGACTGACTCCGTGACTGATTCCCTCACTGACTGACTCCTTGACTGAGTGACTCCTTGACTGACCAACTCCTTGACTGACTCCTTGACTGATTCCCTCACTGACTGACTCCTTGACTGAGTGACTCCTTGACTGAGTGACTCCTTGACTGACTAACTCCTTGACTGACTCCTTGACTGACTCCTTGACTGAGTGACTCCTTGACTGACTAACTCCTTGACTGACTCCTTGACTGACTGACTCCTTGACTGACTAACTCCTTGAATGACTCCTTGACTGATTCCCTCACTGACTGACTCCTTGACTGACTCCTTGACTGATTCCCTCACTGACTGATTCCCTCACTGACTAACTCCTTGACTGACTCCTTGACTGATTCCCTCACTGACTGATTCCCTCACTGACTAACTCCTTGACTGATTCCCTCACTGACTGACTCCTTGACTGAGTGACTCCTTGACTGACTAACTCCTTGACTGACTCCTTGACTGATTCCCTCACTGACTGACTCCTTGACTGAGTGACTCCTTGACTGTCTAGGTGATGGTGAAATTGGGTTTAACGTCGCGTCCAAGATTATTGCACTTATATAGCGACGTCCTTGACTGTCTAACTCCTTGACTGATTCCCCCACTGACTGACTCATTGACTGACTGACTCCTTGACTGATTCCCTCACTGACTAACTCCTTGTCTGACTGATTCCCTCACTGACTGACTCTTTGACTGACTCTCTGACTGACTCTCTGACTGACTCCCTGACCGTCTGACTGACTCCTTGACTGACTCCTTGACTGATTCCCTCACTGACTCTCTCACTGACTATCTGGCTGACTCTCTGACTGACTCCCTCACTGACTCTGTTTGACTCCCTGACTGATTCCCTGACTGACTCTCTGACTGACTCCCTGACTGACTTTCTGACTGACTCCCTCCCTGACTGACTCCCTGACTGACTCTCTGACTGACCCCTTCCCTGACTGACTCCCTGACTGACTCTCTGACTGACTCCCGCCCTATATGTTGCAGCTGCTGGACAGTACTGTAGAGCTGTTCCGCCCCCCGCTGCTCCGCCGCAATGTCGTCCTGCTGGTGATCAACTTCACGCTTGCCTTTGGGTAAGTTGTTGCTTCTCACATTATATTGTCTTTTGAGACAATCAGGAGCAATAATAATGTCCTTTCAACGAAATCTAGGTCAGAACTCATTTCAAAGAGGTTTGTTTTGTGGTCTCCTATATCAAACTGCATCAAGTAGAGCCTACGACAATCATTTCCTCCTGACTCACCGTCCTTTCCTCCCTCCTTTCCTCTCTCCCTTCCTTCCCTCACTCACTCACTTCCCCTCCAATGTGCTTATCGTAAGAGGCGACTAACGGGAGCCGGTGGTAAGGCTCGCTGAGTTGGTTTGATGCATGTCATTGTATCCAAATTGCATAGATCGATGCTGAGGATGTCAATCACTGGATTATTTACAGATTGCCGTCATATAGCTGGAAAATTGCTGAGTGCGGCGTTAAACAACAATCAGACTTCCCTCCTGATCCATTCCCTCTTTCCATCACACACTTCCAATCCTCCCTTACCCTCATCTGTGCCTTCTCTCTCTCCATCCCTCCATCCCTCTCTCCATCCTCCCTCTCTCAATCCATCCCTCACTCCCTCCATCCCTTCCTCTTCTCCATCCCTTTCTCTCCATCCCTCCTCTCTCCATCCCTCTCCCTCTCTCCATCCCTTCCTCTTCTCCATCCATCACTCTCTCCATCCCTCCCTCTCTCCATCCCTCCTCCCTCTCTCCATCCCTTCTTCTCCATCCATCACTCTCTCCATCCCTCCTCTCTCCATCCCTCCTCCCTCTCTCCATCCCTTCCTCTTCTCCATCCATCACTCTCTCCATCCCTCCTCTCTCCATCCCTCCTCACTCCCTCCATCCCTTCCTCTTGTCCATCCCTCATTCTCTCCATCCCTCCTCTCTCCATCCCTCCTCACTCCCTCCATCCCTTCCTCTTCTCCATCCCTCATTCTCTCCATCCCTCCTCTCTCCATCCCTCCTCACTCCCTCCATCCCTTCCTCTTCTCCATCCCTCATTCTCTCCATCCCTCCTCTCTCCATCCCTCCTCCCTCTCTCCATCCCTTCCTCTTCTCCATCCCTCATTCTCTCCATCCCTCCTCTCTCCATCCCTCTTCCCTCTCTCCATCCCTTCCTCTTCTCCATCCCTCCCTCTCTCCATCCCTCCTCCCTCTCTCCATCCCTTCCTCTTCTCCATCCATCACTCTCTCCATCCCTCCTCTCTCCATCCCTCCCTCTCTCCATCCTTCCCTCTCTCCATCCCTCTCTCTCTCGATCCCTTTCTCTTCTCCATCCATCACTCTCTCCATCCCTCCCTCTCTCCATCCCTCCTCTCTCCATCCCTCCTCCCTCTCTCCATCCCTTCTTCTCCATCCATCACTCTCTCCATCCCTCCCTCTCACCATCCATCTCTCCATCCCTCACTCCCTTCATCCCTCACTCCATCATTCCTGTCTCCCTCTCCCTCAACCATCCCAACCTAACTTCCCCTCCCTCCACCCCTCGCTCGATAGCTCCTCTATCCATCTATCCATCCATCTCTCTCTCAATCCCTCACTCCCTCCATCCGACCCGTGAAGATTCCGGGTAGAATAGATCTTCAGCAACACACGCTTGCCGTAAAAGGCGACTATGCTTGTCGTAAAAGGCGACTAAAGGGATCGGGGGGTTAGGCTCGCTGCTTTGGTTGATACATGTCATCGATCCCAATTGTGTAGATCCATGCTCATCATATCAAGCACTGGATTGTCTGGTCCAGACGCGATTATTTACAGACCGCCGTCATATAGCTAGTATATTGCTATGGCGTGTGGCGTTAAACAACAAACCAACCAACCAACCAACTCCCTCTATCCCTCCCCTCTCCATCCCTCCCTCACTCCCTCCATCCCTCCATCCCTCTTCTCTCCAGCCTCCCTCTGTCCATCCCTCCCTCTGTCCATCCCTCCCTCTGTCTCTCCCTCTCTCCATCCCTCTTCTCTCCAGCCCCCTCTCTCCATCCCTCCCTCCATCCCTCCCTCTATCCATCCCTCACTCCCTCCCTCCATCCCTCTTCTCTTCAGCCCCCTCTGTCCATCCCTCCGTCTGTCTATCCCTCCTCTGTCCGTCCCTCCCTCTGTCCATCCCTCCCTTTCTCCATCCCTCTTCTCTCCAGACCCCTCTCTCCATCCCTCCCTCCATCCCTCCATCCCTCCCTCTCTCCATCCATCCCTCCCTCCATCACTCTCCATCCCTCCCTCTCTCCATCCATCCCTCTCTCCATCCCTCCCTCTCTCCATCCCTCTTCTCTCCATCCATCCCATCTCCATCCCTCCCTCCATCCCTCTTCTCTCCATCCCTCCCTCCCTCCGTCCCTCTCTATCCCTCTTCTCTCCACCCCCCTCCCTCTGTCCATCCCTCCTCTCTCCATCACTCTTCCCTCCATCCCTCACTCCATCCCTCTCTCTATCCATCCCTCACTCCATCCATCCCTCTTTCCTTCCCTCCCCCTATCCCTCCCTCCTTCCCTCTCCTAATCACTCACTTCCCCTCCCTCACTCCCCTCTCCCTCTATCCCTCCCTCTCTCCATCCCTCTTCTCTCCATCCCTCCCTCCCTCCGTCCCTCTCTATCCCTCTTCTCTCCACCCCCCTCCCTCTGTCCATCCCTCCTCTCTCCATCACTCTTCCCTCCATCCCTCCCTCCCTCCCTCCCTCTCTCTATCCCTCTTCTCTCCACCCTCCTCTGTCCATCCCTCCCTCCCTCCATCCCTCTTCTCTCCATCCCTCCCTCCCTCCATCCCTCTCTCTATCCCTCCCTCCTTCCCTCCCTCTATCCCTCCCTCCCTCCCTCCCTCTCTCTATCCCTCTTCTCTCCAACATCCCCCTCCATCCCTCCCTCCCTCCATCCCTCCCTCTCTCAATCCATCCCTCCCTCACTCCATCCCTTCCTCTTTCCATCCCTCTCTCTATCCCTCACTCCATCCCTCCCTCTTTCCACCCCTCTCTCTATCCCTCCCTCCATCCCTCCCTCCCTCAATCTACCCCTCCCTCACTCCATTCCTCTCTCTATCCATCCCTCACTCCATCCCTCTCTCTATCCATCCCTCACTCCATCCCTCACTCAATCCATCCCTCTTTCCTTCCCTCCCCCTATCCCTCCCTCCCTCTCCTAATCACTCACTTCCCCTCCCTCACTCCCCCTCTCCCTCTATCCCTCCCTCTCTCCATCCCTCTTCTCTCCATCCATCCCTCCCTCCATCCCTCCCTCTCTCCATCCCTCCCTCCCTCCGTCCCTCTCTATCCCTCTTCTCTCCACCCCCCTCCCTCTGTCCATCCCTCCTCTCTCCTTCCCTCCTCCACTCACCTGCTGTCTACACCACAGGTACTACGGGCTGTTCATGTGGTTCCCCGAGCTGTTCAGTCGGATTGAGAAGTTTGGGGGGACGCCATGTGACCCCGGTCCCGTCAACACAACAATCAGCAACTCCACAGTCAGCCCGAGCAGCGACACGTGCGAGGGACCCAGTAACACTGTCTTCCTGGAGGGCTTCCTGACAGCTGTTTCCAACCTCCCTGGAAACCTGTTCACCATTTTCCTTATGGACAAGCTGGGAAGAAAACTGCTTCTGTGTAAGTTGTTGGTTTCAGAAATAGGGATTCATATTTATAGCAGGCCTCCATCCCTCCCTCTCTCCATCCCTCTCTCCATCCATCCCTCTCTCCATCCCATTCCTCCCTCTCTCAATCCCCCCTCCATCCCTCCCTCTCTCCATCCCCCTCCATCCCCTTCCATCCCTCCCTCTCTCCATCCCTACCTCTCTCCATCCCACCCTCCCTCTCTCCATCCCATCCCTCCCTCTCTCCATCCCCCTCCATCCCTCCCTCTTTCCATCCCTCTCTCCATCCCATCCCTCCCTCTCTCCATCCCCCTCCATCCCTCCCTCTCTCCATCCCATCCCTCCCTCTCTCCATCCCCCCTCCATCCCTCCCTCTCTCCATCCCCCTTGATCCCTCCCTCTCTCCATCCCATCCCTCCCTCTTTCCATCCCCCCTCCATCCCTCCCTCTCTCCATCCCTCCCTCTCTCCATCCCATCCCTCCCTCTCTCCATCCCCCTCCATCCCTCCCTCTCTCCATCCCTACCTCTCTCCATCCCATCCCTACCTCTCTCCATCCCATCCCTCCCTCTCTGCATCCCCTCCATCCCTCCCTCTTTCCATCCCTCTCTCCACCCAATCCCTCCCTCACTCCATCCCCCCTCCATCCCTCCCTCTCTCCATCCCATCCCTCCTCTCTCCATCCCTCCCTCTCTCCATCCCATCCCTCCCTCTCTCCATCCCTCCCTCTCTCCATCCCCCTCCATCCCTCCCTCTCTCCATCCCTACCTCTCTCCATCCCATCCCTACCTCTCTCCATCCCCCCTCCATCCCTCCCTCTCTCCATCCCATCCCTCCTCTCTCCATCCCTCTCTCTCTCCATCCTTCCCTCTCTCCATCCCATCTCTCCTCTCTCCATCCCTCTCTCCATCCCATCCCTCCCTCTCTCCATCCCCCTCCATCCCTCCCTCTCTCCATCCCATCCCTCCCTCTCTCCATCCCCCCTCCATCCCTCCCTCTCTCCATCCCCCCTCGATCCCTCCCTCTCTCAATCCCATCCCTCCCTCTCTCCATCCCCCCTCCATCCCTCCCTCTCTCCATCCCTCCCTCTCTCTATCCCATCCCTCCCTCTCTCCATCCCCCTCCATCCCTCCCTCTCTCCATCCCTACCTCTCTCCATCCCATCCCTACCTCTCTCCATCCCATCCCTCCCTCTCTCCATCCCCTCCATCCCTCCCTCTTTCCATCCCTCTCTCCATCCCATCCCTCCCTCTCTCCATCCCCCCTCCCTCCCTCTCTCAAACCCATCCCTCCTCTCTCCATCCCTCTCTCTCTCCATCCTTCCCTCTCTCCATCCCATCTCTCCTCTCTCCATCCCTCTCTCCATCCCATCTCTCCTCTCTCCATCCCTCCCTCTCTCCATCCCATCCCTCCTCTCTCCATCCCATCCCTCCTCTCTCCATCCCATCCCTCTCTCCATCCCTCCTCTCTCCATCCCTCTCTCCATCCCATCCCTCCTCTCTCCATCCCTCTCTCCATCCCTCCCTCTCTCCATCCCTCTCTCCATCCCCCCTCAAACCCTACCTCTCCCCATCCCATCCCTCCCTCTCTCCATCCCCTCCATCCCTCCCTCTCTCCATCCCATCCCTCCTCTCTCCATCACTCTCTCCATCCCATCCCTCCTCTCTCCATCCCTCTCTCATTCCCTCCCTCTCTCCATCCCTACCTCTCTCCATCCCATCCCTCCCTCTCTCCATCCCCTCTCCATCCCTTCCTCTCTTCATCCCTCCCTCTCTCCATCCCATCCCTCCTCTCTCCATCCCCCTCTCTCTCCATCCATCCCATCCCTCCTCTCTCCATCCCTCTCTCCATCCCATCTCTCCATCCCTCCCTCTCTCCATCCCATCTCCTCTCTCCATCCCATCCTCCTCTCTCCATCCCATCCCTCTCTCCATCCCTCCTCTCTCCATCTCTCTCTCCATCCAATCCCTCCTCTCTCCATCCCTCTCTCCATCCCTCCCTCTCTCCATCCCATCCCTCCTCTCTCCATCCCTCTCTCCATCCCCCCCTCCATCCCTACCTCTCTCCATCCCATCCCTCCCTCTCTCCATCCCTCCCTCTCTCCATAATTCATATTTATAGGACCTGTGAAGATTCCGGGGTAGAATAGGTCTTCAGCAACCCTTGCTTGCCGAAAAAGGTGACTTTGCTTGTCGTAAAAGGCGACTAACGAGATCGGGTGGTCAGGCTCGCTGACTTGGTTGGTGCATGTCATCGATCCAAATTGTGTGCATTGATGATCATGATATCAATCACGGGATTGTCTGGTCCAGACTTGATTATTTACACACCGCCGTCATATAGCTGGAATATTGCCGAGTGTGGCGTTAAACAACAAACCAACAACAACAACAATCATATTTATAGCAGGCCTCAAAGTAACGACTAAAACGGTGGCCAATGCGACCTAAATTTCAATTTGTCTACTGTCTAAAATTCAGAGGTAGCCAAATGACTACTTTTCAAAATATCTTGTGGCGACTAAAATCTATTGCTACACATATGTAGACACATTTAAACATGTCTGCTACTAATTGTATTCACAAATAATTCCTGCTAAAGTCAACAATAAGCTGAAATGCATCAATATTAATGCAACTAGTATTGTATTTTAGTTGATAGTTTATAAATTATTGGATAAGCAAGGATATACCTACATAATCTAGTAACATAAATTGCATCATTGTTTGAGTCACAAATAACAAAACTCAAGTACAGTTTCCACTAATGTACAATTCCAAGACTAGTGCTGACTTGTACATATACTAGTTGTTTGATAAAAGATAATTTCAAATGCTTTTGGCCACCTACAATATTGGCTTGACTTCTAAATTTTGCCACTGGCTACCTGGAAAAAAGTACTTTGAGGCCTGTTCATAGTCATATTCATTTTGAAAAACTTGCCAGAAAATCATACTTCTTTCACGCACTAAGCTATGTTAACTTTAACTGTGTACTGATCTGTGTACTTTAACTGTGAGTTTGATATTAACTTGTCCCTACACAGAGCTAGGGTTCTTCAAAATGGATCATGCTGTCAGGCGTGGTGACTTGGTTTATGGCTTGACAATGTATCCTGACGTTTTGTTCCTCACAAATTCAATCACTTATTTACAGGCTGCTATCCTAAAGCTTTAATATTGCTGAGTGCGGTGTTAAGAAATAAAAAAGGGAGACAATCCCTGTTCCTTTTTGCTTGTACAGATGAACACACGAACACACGCACACACACGTACACACACACACAGACACATGCACACACAAACACACATGCACACACTTACACACACACAAACACGTACACACACACACGCGCGCACACACACACACACGTACATACATACACACAAGTACACACACACACACTTACACGTACACACAAACAAACGCACATATACACAGACACACAAACACACACGAAAACACACACACTGTTCAGGGGAGACAATGCCATTTCCTCTTTGCTTGTACCTGGCTACCTCCCCATGCTAAGTCTACAGTATTCTTGCAGCCTCCAGCATGTGTATATCAGGGCTGGCCGTGTTCTTCATCTGGTTCGTACAGACCAGGGTGCAGAATGTAGCAATATCGTGTGTGTTTGGTGCTGTGTCTACGATCGGCTGGAACGCACTCGACGTGCTCTCAACAGAGCTCTTCCCCACCAACGTCAGGTATGTTGTTTTCTAGTTCTTCCACACCAACATCAGGTACATAGTTCTCTAGTTCTTCCACGCCAACATCAGGTATACAGTTCTCTAGTTCTTCCACACCAACATCAGGTATACAATTCTCCAGTTCTTCCCCACCAACATCAGGTACATAGTTCTCCAGTTCTTCACGACCAACATCAGGTACACAGTCTCTAGTTCTTCCCCCCCCAACATAAGGCACACAGTTCTCTAGTTCTTCCCGACCAACATCGGGTACATAGCTCTCTAGTTCTTCCCGACCAACATCAGGTATACAGTTCTCTAGTTCTTCCCGACCAACATCAGGTACACAGTCTCTAGTTCTTCCCCACCAACATCAGGTATACAGTTCTCTAGTTCTTCCCGACCAACATCAGGTACATAGCTCTCTAGTTCTTCCCGACCAACATCAGGTATACAGTTCTCTAGTTCTTCCCGACCAACATCAGGTACATAGCTCTCTAGTTCTTCCCCCCCAACATCAGGTACACAGTCTCTAGTTCTTCCAGCCAACATCAGGTATACAGTTCTCTAGTTCTTCCCGACCAACATCAGGTACATAGCTCTCTAGTTCTTCCCCACCAACATCAGGTACACAGTCTCTAGTTCTTCCCCACCAACATCAGGTATACAGTTCTCTAGTTCTTCCCGACCAACATCAGGTACATAGCTCTCTAGTTCTTCCCGACCAACATCAGGTATACAGTTCTCTAGTTCTTCCCGACCAACATCAGGTACATAGCTCTCTAGTTCTTCCCCCCCAACATCAGGTACACAGTCTCTAGTTCTTCCAGCCAACATCAGGTATACAGTTCTCTAGTTCTTCCCGACCAACATCAGGTACATAGCTCTCTAGTTCTTCCCCACCAACATCAGGTATACAGTTCTCTAGTTCTTCCCCACCAACATCAGGTACATAGTTCTCTAGTTCTTCCCCACCAACATCAGGTACCTAGTTCTCTAGTTCTTCCCCACCAACATCAGGTACATAGTTCTCCAGTTCTTCCCCACCAACATCAGGTACATAGTTCTCTAGTTCTTCCCGACCAACATCAGGTACATAGTTCTCTAGTTCTTCCCCACCAACATCAGGTACATAGTTCTCCAGTTCTTCCCCACCAACATCAGGTACCTAGTTCTCCAGTTCTTCCCCACCAACATCAGGTACATAGTTCTCTAGTTCTTCCCCACCAACATCAGGTACATAGCTCTCTAGTTCTTCCCAACCAACATCAGGTACATAGTTCTCTAGTTCTTCCCCACCAACATCAGGTACATAGTTCTCCAGTTCTTCCCCACCAACATCAGGTACATAGTTCTCTAGTTCTTCCCGACCAACATCAGGTACATAGTTCTCTAGTTCTTCCCCACCAACATCAGGTACATAGTTCTCTAGTTCTTCCCCACCAACGTCAGGTACATAGTTCTCTAGTTCTTCCCCACCAACATCAGGTACATAGTTCTCCAGTTCTTCCCCACCAACATCAGGTACATAGTTCTCTAGTTCTTCCCGACCAACATCAGGTACATAGTTCTCTAGTTCTTCCCCACCAACATCAGGTACATAGTTCTCTAGTTCTTCCCCACCAACATCAGGTACATAGTTCTCTAGTTCTTCCCCACCAACATCAGGTACATAGTTCTCTAGTTCTTCCCCACCAACATCAGGTACATAGTTCTCTAGTTCTTCCCCACCAACGTCAGGTACATAGTTCTCTAGTTCTTCCCCACCAACATCAGGTACATAGTTCTCCAGTTCTTCCCCACCAACATCAGGTACATAGTTCTCTAGTTCTTCCCGACCAACATCAGGTACATAGTTCTCTAGTTCTTCCCCACCAACATCAGGTACATAGTTCTCTAGTTCTTCCCCACCAACATCAGGTACATAGTTCTCTAGTTCTTCCCCACCAACATCAGGTACATAGTTCTCTAGTTCTTCCCCACCAACATCAGGTACATAGTTCTCCAGTTCTTCCCCCACCAACATCAGGTACATAGTTCTCTAGTTCTTCCCCACCAACATCAGGTACATAGTTCTCCAGTTCTTCCCCAAAACACAGTGTCATGTTCCTGGACACAGTGGTGGATTCATGGGTACACAACAGCTTCGCGGAAAGCGTTAAAGTTGGCATGCAGCACGTGCTTCTTGCTGGATGAGTGTAAAATGCGCACGCTCTGCAAACAGTGAATTTCAGTTGGCTTCTGGCGTTCATATGTGCAAGTAGTAAATAGATATCTCTCTCTAAGTTACAAAATAGTGAATTAGAAGAATTCATTTTAAGTTTCAAATCCATTTCATTTTATCTTATTACATTTCCATTGTTGATTACATTACAAGGGGATTTCACGTTTAGTTGATTACAAGGGAATTTCACGTTTAGTTGATTGCAAGGGGATTTCACGTTTAGTTGATTACAAGGGGATTTCACGTTTAGTTGATTGCAAGGTAAGTTCATGTTTAGTTAATGTGAATTTAGTCTTCTACTGCGAACCAAACCTCAATCGGATCTTGGTGCTGCAAGATTGGTCCACTGATGTTTTTGGGGGGGAGTTTAAATAACTATGATGCTTGGACTGTTCTTTGAACTAAACCCAATGTAATCTTGGCAATGCAAGGTCAGTGTTGAGGTCAAACAGTTTCTGTGGTTTTAGTTCAAATAACTTTTTGTGGAATACGCCTCATCTCCTAAACTGTATTAACATTCGTTACAGAACTACGGCATTCGGTGTCCAGACGGGCGTGGCTCGTATCGGTGCAATCCTCGGCAACGTGATATTCGGGGAACTGGTAGATATCCATTGCGCTATACCCATGATCATGGTTGCTGTGTTGCTGTGTGTGGGCGGCCTGACTGCCATCAAACTCCCAAACACCACTGGCATCGACATTCACTGATGTGCAGAATCTCCAAACATCACTTACTCCACATCTTTATATAGAGATTGCCTTGGAGACAGGGTAAAGAGGAACTGTATGGAGCTTTAGCCTGTGCTAGTTTATGGGAGAGTAGTCATGTTGAATGTTTTCTGTTATCCAGTGAAACCACATTAATCGGGAATATTGTTTTCTCGATGACTACTGTCTACAAGAAAAGTTGACATATACTACTCAAAACAAGTTAGGGAACACCCTCAATCGGAATGCTGTGTGTTTTTTATTTTATATAGTGAAAACGCCTCCGTCCCGAATACTGTTTTGGGGACAATTTCTTTTATCAAAGAATGTCAAAATATTTAACAGTGATGCATTAATCAATGTTTTAAGAGGTGTGATTTCACTGGATGATACTGTCTGGATAACAGGGTTTTGCTGTGTGTTGTGTTGTAGGAAGATAGTATATATACTCACCGTCAAAAGAAACACAAACCATAGAAACATATAGAGAAGTATGTACGTTAAGAAGAGATGTTTCCAAAGTGTACCATTTAATCAGTCATGTGTTGTCAGAGAGTGGTTACCGTATTTTCTTGAGTTAAGTGCCCACTATTTTTCCATTTTTTAAAATGTTTTTTCCCCGAACAAAAGACATCACCGTGTCAACAAATCCGTACTGGAGTACGTAATCTTGTAATTACACTGTCTGGTTATAAAAAGTATTCTTATCAAAATATGCTGCACGTGATTTCCAAACTTTACACACTAATCCTGCATCAGACAAAAGGTGCATTCAAGGTTCTATGACGTCATCAAACCAGTATTATATCACTTGAATATGAGTAATTTGTCATATATTATCCAACATGTATGGTATTGATGTTTCTTTTGTCGGTGATTTTATATTTCATTTCTTGTCAGCTCCTGCTCAAACTTTATCCTATTCTTGTTGTAAGAGGCCATATGTCCTTGCTGGGACCTCATTCCTGAATATCTGGGTCAGAATAGGTCTTCAGAAACTCATGCTTGCCATAAAAGGCGAATATGCTTATCGTAAGAGGCGACTAGCAGGATCGGGTGGTCAGGCTCGCTGACTTGGTTGATGCATGTCATCGATCCCAATTGCGTGGATCGATGCTCATGATATGAATCACTGGAGCGTCTGGTCCAGACTCGATTATTTACAGACCGCTGTCATACAGCTGGAATATTACTGAATGCGGCGTTAAACAACAACCAAACCAAACATACTACATCACCGTATAAGGGTGAGCTTCAGTACCTATAGTACCAGTGTACAGCATCACGTGAAGGAGTCATCATGATGGATCCAGTGGGAGTCAGGACTGTCTCTTGTGGACATTCTGCAACATTCCCAATCTCATTAAAATCAGATCTTAGTTCTCGCTACCACTAAACAAACATCTGAGGACATCCCAATATGGGTCACGTCAGACCTACCTTGCGCGAACTTTGACCGACCAATGGAAGGACTGACAAGAAGTCGACATTAGCCAATCAGAAGGCAGCTTTCTCGTGCTTTAAGGCACTGATTTCAAATTGGCGAAAATGCTACAAACCCCATTTTGACAAATTCTCGATTAAAAATTTGAAACCTGAACAAAAGAACATTCTGGAATGGCTTATAGATGGTCTAGATTGTATGGATTCAGTCGTTAAACCCGTAACTATCGTTCGGAATACCCCATGTTAAAGTTTTCGAGGTTGCATGATTAGAAATAACATTCCGACTGTCACTTTCATGATCTGGTAAGCGACACTCTGATTGGTTGGATGAAAGGTCGTTTTGACGTGACCCGTATTATAAATGGGATGTCCTCCGGTAGCGAGAAGAAAAATCAGATTTTGTTGATGACAAGGGGATTTCACGTTTAGTTGATTACAAGGGGATTTCACCTTTTGTTGATTACAAGGGAATTTCACGTTTAGTTGATTGCAACATTCCAGACACATACTATTGATATATTCAATAGATATTTTTTTAAGAGGTTGTGCTCAGTAGAATATTTTTAGCCCTTATTTTTAAACTGCAATCTTATCATAACATGCCATTGAGTTTTATGTTGTGTGCCAGACTGTGTTAGATGGTTTATATCAACAGTTGCATCTGTGTTTTTATGTTTGAACAATAACTGACACGACTGTATTGATCACTTGTGATACTTTACGACTTTATCTGTAATGATATATATTTATAATTAGCAATAATAAGACCTGACCCGTTGAATGTCTTGTTTCACACATTGTATGCCAAGAAGCAGGAAAAACAGAATACTTTTATCAGCGTTAGAAATTGGCACTAGTCCTGTAGTCCTTACAAAACTGCCCAATAGTAAAGGTATCCTAAGGGCAAGTAGAAATTGGCCCATTTTAAGGGTGTTGCTATATGTTATCATTATAAGGACTAGTGGACAAAAACTGTTAGTTTCTAACCCTGCATGTTTGGTCTTTTTAATTTTTCAATATCTAGGGCAGGCTACTTTAAAAAACAAAAACTTAGTTAACCTGGGCCTGTTCCACAAAGCGACCTTAGCGCTAAGACGATTGTAACCTCCATCCTGTAGCATCGACTTATTACAATGATAGCGCTAAGACGATTGTAACTCCCATCCTGTAGCATCGACTTATTACAATGATAGCGCTAAGATTGCTTTTGGAGTTGGGGCCATGCTTGGTAATCATACACTTCAGGGTTATAACGAGTGAGTGAGTGAGTGAGTGAGTGAGTATGGTTTTACGCCGCTTTTAGCAATATTCCAGCTATATCACGGTGGGGGTCACCAGAAATGGGCTTCACACATTGTACCCATGTCGGGAATCGACCCGGGTCTTCAGCGTGATGAGCGAACGCTTTAACCACTAGGCTACCCGACCGCCCCAGGTTATAACGAACTGAAGGGGACCACTAATTCGTATCAAAAACATCACCATCAAATAACCATTTCTTTTTTGTTTCATTTTTAGCCACCATCAAACAGGAGTGTAGACTTTCTTTTGTTGGAATTTCTGAGTGTGTGAAAAAATTGAGAAAAAAGATATCTTGACATACCGCATTCGACGTAATAAGCGCCCACGGCGGTATTTGCTAACATATTGGCTTGTGAACAACCCCAATTAGCATCCCTTCCGATTGATCAATGTACACAAGACTTATTTATTTGCGTACAATACGCACTCGTGTGTTATATGCACCTTTAATTATGGGCAGTTAAATGCTAGAAAAATATATCTGTCGTACATAAACATTTCAGGCTGTCAGCATAAACCACCAAATTTATCTTTCAACTCTGTTTTTTTTCCACCAAAATGATATTCTAATTTTGAGAGCGCCCTGGGCGCTTATGACGTCGAATACGGTATGTCAAGATATCTTTTTTCTAAATTTTTTATATTTCATGTTACTCAGCTCTCAAAGGGTTACAGACATTTTTTTGTTTTGAAACTTGGGAAAAAAATATTGAAGTGTCGGTTTATAGTTATTTGAAGTCAAAGTGTCTGTTACATAGATATTATTTGTATCACAGCATCACAAAACAGCCACATCTCCCCCCTCCCTATCATAACTGACAAGTCCCTAATTAATGTTTAAAGTAATATTTTTTTTATTTTGAAAAAAAATAGAACTGAGTCATTATTTCATCCTCCCCCTCTTAAAATAAGGTTTGGCGACCCTCCCTTTTTCACTGTGTCAGTCGTCCCGAAAACGTAATAAAAATACCATGATTTCTTATTTTTAGACATTATGTTTGTCGTCCAGGACACAGTGGTCACAGAATCTACCCAGTTATGATCTCTCCTTCAATTGTGGCTCATATGACATACATTCTTTTTTTTACCTCTATTTTGCCTTTTATACTCAGTGGATTCTGTGTATAATTGAGATTAATTACTCTCTGGCATTGACATTTATGCACTGTTCAAAGTTGTGTTTCACCAAAATAATTCACTTAGAATTCACCCAGTAGTGAATGGGTACCCGGTAGGATAAGGTAGTGCTTCAGGTTGTATACTCCTCATGGAGCCGGTCAGTTGATTGAACTGAAAATGTCAGGAACTGAAGAAGCAGATTATTATTATCATTATTAAAGAATGTTTACATGGAGATTATTATTATAGAATGTTTACATGTATATTATTATCATTATTATAGAATGTTTACACGTAGATTATTATCATAATTATTATAGAATGTTTACATGAAGATTATTATCATTATTATAGAATGTTTACATGTAGATTATTATTATAATTATTATAGAATGTTTACATGTAGATTATTATTGTAGAATGTTTACATGTAAATTATTATTATAATTATTATGGAATGTTTACATGTAGATTATTATTATTATTATTATTATTATTATAATAGAATGTTTCCCAAGTTTCTCTTTGAAATCAGTGCCTTCTGAATAGTCCAACCAGTCACCTATGTAATTATTCAGGGAACCCAATCATCTTGACCATCTTGGGATCACGATGCATTAAGCATAAACCAATTCTATGCATGTATAATATTGTCGAACACTTGTCAGGATATGTGGTTATGTTCTCCATGTATATTTTTGCAGCATGTATGTACATGTGAATAAATGATTGATATATACGATAAATGTATTGTTTTGTTGCCCTGTTTGGCAGAGTAGATCATTGGATGGATGGCTCGTAATATAAGGGTAACGCTATTTTTCAGGGCAGTATCATTTGCAGAAGCCCGAGGTCTTCCATTAACTGCCCGACGAAGGAGGGCAGTTGAAAAGACTGAGGGCTTCTGCAAATGATAATGACCTGAAAAAGAGCAGTACCGTTATTATAGCTAAAGTGGATGGAATATTTTATCAAATATAAAGAAACAACATCGGTTTTGAAACATTTACTGCAATCAACGCGAATGTCACTGACCACATTTTACAAATATGGAAACGTCATAAAACAAACCAGATGACATCACTATAATACGTGACGTCATTTTCTCTACCCTATGACATCACCTAACAACGGGCTTGATAATGGCCCGTCGTCAAGCCATATGAGGGCATTATCAAGTTACAGTGGCCCGCTCATTTCTGATAACGTGCGGGCGGTTTAATGATAATTCTATCCATTTTAACTATAATGTTGAATAATCGCTGCCTTTAAGGCTGTCATAGCATCTGTGGGTGCAGGGTTTAACTTTTAGTCCCATGCAGTCTTAAGAGCAGTGTTTTTGCGTGGGTTTGGGAAAATACACGGCTGATGTTTATAACTACATCAACAAACAATTCCCAAACAGTATAAAACTCACTTCCTGCACATACTGAGGCATCTTCGGACAGTGTGTGTCTGCAGCATACATCAGTGATATACAATGTTATTCACATTCCATGAGCCTCAGTAGGTGCATCCTGTTATAATGTGTTGCACTTGTTGCCACTTGGATGACCTTGTAGGGTCCTACTTTGTCCTTCCACGTTCCCGTACTTTTGTTTCCACCACTATTTTTGTTGTAATGTTTTATTCATCGCAGTAAGTGTATGCACATGATGGTGATATACAATGTGATTCACATTTCATGTGCGTCAGTAGGTGCAGCATGTTATAATGTGTGGCACTTCAAAAGGCCAATAGAAATAGTGTTCATGACG